CATACTGAAGGCTGTGGTCTTTGATTTTCATCAATAAATATTTTAAGTCCTCTTGACTTTTAGCAAGCATGGTTGTAACATCTGCATATCGCAGGTTGTTAATGAGCTGTCCTCCAATCCTGGTTCCGGTTTTTCTTGATATAATCCAGTTTCTTGTTGTTGTTGTTGTGAGTGAAGTTCAGTTGAGTTGATTCCAACCCTGTATAGGGTTTCTGAGGAACAGCTTATGGACTTGAACCACCGACCTTGCAGTTCAAATGGCTTTGCAGTCTGGTGCATTAACCCACAGTGCCACACTAGCTTCTTATAGGTAGTATTAAGTTATCATTAAGAAGCCTCTGAGTTTCTACTGCTAAGAGTCAGTGGTATGATTATGCCATTTGTGATTTTTATAATGACAGTATACTTATCCAACAGTCTGTACTGTAATTATATCAATTCATCTAACTGGCAAGTAGGATAATGCAGTGGACCACAAGGTTGGCAGTTCAAACCAACCAGCCACTCCTCAGAAACCCTACACAGGGTCAGTATAAATTGGAACCAACTTGACAGCACTTAACAATAACAGTACCTCCTGCGGCAGAACCATGACCTTTTCTTTAAGTATGAATATAATGATTAAGGGTCACCTGTAGCGCTGTAGAATCAGCATTGGACTGCCAACCACAAAGTCAGCAATTCAGACCTTTGATGTTGTTGTTGTTAAGTACTGTCGAGTTGATTCCAACCCATAGCATAGGGTTTCCAAGGAGCAGCTGGTGAGCTTGAAACCTACCAGAAGCTTATTCTTGGAAATCCTATTTACTATCAATTGGAACTGACTTGTCTGCACTAACAACATAATGACTAGAGTTCTGACTTCTTTCTTGCATAAAGCATACCCTAATACATTGCCTTTAATAGCCCCCTTTTATTTAATAAGTACAGTAATAAAGTAGATACTTGTGAATCTATATGAGTACAGATTTGCTAGATTTTCTCTTCTGGTGTTAGGGATTATATTGCCCCACTTGATTTGATTAGCAATCCTGGTTGTGTGTGTGTGTGTGTGTGTTGCTACTCAATTTTCGTTCTTTTCAAAGTGTTTAGTCTAATTAGAAATAAGCCCTCTTACTTAACGCAATCTTTCATCATAGTATTACTTAGAAGAATTAAGTTACTGTCATAATTGGATTTGGTAATAAATGCTCTTGGTAAGTGTCCGTCTCAGTTGGTGAGAGATGGTAGGCTGGCTAGCAGGGACTTTCAATTGCCCCAGGTAGCCACAGTAGCCATAGGCATTAATGAACAAGTTTTGATTAATGTAGAATGTCAGATAAGTTGATTAAGAATGGGTTTTTGTTTATGCTGTTTTAGACTCTTAAACATTGCTTCCAGTCTTGCCACTACATATAATTCTCTGATAAGTATATTTGTGCATACATCTTTGTAACTATGTGTTTTATATGTTAGAACAGGTTGCTAGATGTGAAGTTATTGAGCCAACGTGTTTCCATTTAAAAACTTGATGGTAGTGATAGTGGTTATATGCTGTGGATTTGGTTCTGACTCATAGTGACTGTGTATAGGGGTTCCAAAGCTGTAAATCTTTAAGGGAGAAGAAAGCCTCATCTTTCTCTTATGGAACCTCTGGTAGTTTCAAACTGCTGACTTTGAGATTAGCAGCCCAACTTGTAACCACTACGCATGCAGAGCTCCTTTTTAAAAATTAAGTGCTGTAGAGTTGGTTTCAACTCAGAGTAACCCTGCCTGCATAGGGTTTCTGGGACCAGCTGATGAGCTTGAACCGCTGACCTTGCAGTTCAAACCGACTTTATAGTCCAGTACATTAACCCACAGCACCAAACTAGTACTCCTTTCAAAACAGTACATACATAAATTAATTAGTTAGGCAAAATAAAGAATGACAGCTAACAATATAAGCAAATTTGTCAAAGAAGAGAGTTCTAACTCTTCTGGTAATAAAAGTTTTTTTGTTTCTGTTTTTAAATGTTTTAACAAAAGAGGTTTGGCTAACAAATGTTTCTTTTAGTCAACCATGGAAGCTTATTGGTGATACAGTACCCACGATTTTTACTGGGGCTTGGTTATATAGTCAGGTCTGCCTGGCAGGTACCAAATTTTAGACCTGCAGAAGAAAAGCAGGTATTTCACATAAATCATATTGCCTACATAAACAGTTTACACACATTGAACCAGTTCTGGGAATGGTAGGAAGCTTTCTGGGAGCTCAAGTTTTCAGACACCAGCCAAGGACCAGCCTTGAACTCAGAACTTTGTAAGATAGTCAAGCCTGCTTTGCTATTGTTGGGGTAGTTCATTGTTTGAATTTGCATTTCTTAATTATTGGTGCACAACTTTTTGTGTAAAAAACTTTTTGTGTATACGTATTTTTTTTTAATGAATTGTTCCTGTCATTTGCTTCTATTTGTACTAGGCCTAAGTGATTTTTTTTGAGTGATTGTTACTTGTTAGTAGCAGTACTTGTATGTGTGCATATGTGGTTGGTGTGGCTCATTTTAGTGCAAAGTTAATTTGTATGTCAGCCTGTAGTCTAAAATTAGCATGTTTACTTTGTGACATGGCTTAACCATACTAGCAAGTTTACAATTTGTAAATCACAGATCTACTTTTAAGGGTGGTAGAAAGTGACCTTTATTGACATTTGAAAGTTGCTTTCTAACTTAAAACTAGGCTTGTTCTTTAAATTGTAAGGTTGATTTTAACAGTGGAAAATCTTTTATTTTAATGTTAGATGGCGACTATCAAAAGGAAATAGATCATGGCAGCAGATGATGACAATGGTGATGGAACAAGTTTATTTGATGTCTTTTCTGGTAAGAGCTAGGATTTTCAGTCACCTTTCTACAATTTTTAATTATAAAATTATGTACTTATTCTTTCTCCCACACATAAAGTGAATTAATCAAGTGAAATGTCAGCTGCATAGGGAATGCTTAGTAAGTTTGTGAACATTTTTGTATATTTTCAAGCCTCTGTTGTTGTTGTTAAGTACCTTTGAGCCTTTTCTGACAGTAGTGACCCTGTATGGGGTTTCTGAGGAGTGGCTGATGAGTTTGAACTGCCGACTTTGTGGTTTAAATTGACCTTGCGGTTGAGTGCTTATCATATAGTGCCACACATGGACTCTAATCATGTTCATATTAGCAATTTTATTAGTAATATTTGGTAATGGTAAGGAGCTCTGGTAGCATAGTGGTTATGAATTGGGCTGTGAAACTCAAGGTCAGCAGTTCGAAACTATCAGCTGCTCTGCAGGAGAAAGATGAGGCTTTCTGCTCCCATAAAGATTCACAGCCTGGGAAACCCTGTTCAGGGTCGCTATGGGTCGGAACCGACTCAACGACGGCACATAACAACAACAACATATGTCCAAAAAATATATCATAGAGGTATTTGTTACTCTTGAAGTTAATAAATGCCGTGATGTTTATGCTCAGAAATTTTGATAGATCACCATAATATATTGTTACTTTGATAAAGAAGTAGCCAAGACTCAATACAGTAAGTCCCTGGGGTTGTGAATGGTTGTGAGTGTGTAACATTGGACAATTAGTACTTGCCCTTTTATGTTATGTAAATTTGTCTTCACTTTGAAAATGATTGTTGCAACAAATTCTTCTCCCAGTAACTTTGACTTGGTGCACATGCAGCTTTAAGATTATTGAAAAGACTTTGAGTCTTGTCTTGCATTAAAATGAGGTTAAGTATTGTCTTGCATTAAAATAAAGTATTGTATTACATGTTCAGACTACATACAAATTTGACTTAGAGACACACCTAGGAACAGATTTCATTTGTAACAAAAGGGCTGCCTGTAATAAATGAATTTACCAAATAAAAATATTTTTAATAGTATGTAGAATGTCAACTTCCAAATCCCACCAGGCCATTTACTTTCTAGTTCTTTTGTCTTAATTGTAATTATACTATGTTGTTTGTTAAGTGCTGTTGAGTTGATTCTGACTCATAACGACCCTGTATAGGGTTTCCGCAGAGCAACTGGTGGGTTTAAACTGGTGATCTTTCGGTTAGTAGTTCAGTGTTTATCATGCAGAGTTACAACTTTGTAGTTTAAACCACCAACTTCGCAGTTCAAACCAACCTTGTGGTCCAGTGCAGTATTCTGCAGCGCCTCACCAGGACTCCCATTATGCTATGACAGCCTCATTAAATATTTTTGAGATTATGTTGTTAATTTGTTGTTGTCACATGCCATCAAGTTGGTCCTGACTCAGTAACCCTGTATAGAGTTTCTGAGGAGTGACTGGTGGGTTTAAACTGCTGACATTTCATTTAGCAAGCAGTTCAGCGCTTATCCTACAGAGTTACACCAGAGACTCTGGTCAATTTCTGTTGAATGATAAAAATAGTATAAAACATATGCAATACAATTGCATATTTGCATAACCATTTTTTATGGATATACAGATAAGCTGAATGGGTGGGGAAGGGTGAGCAGTAGTCTACCCACAAGTATATAAAGATTGACAGAGGCTATTTGTACATGGTTGTCCATGTTTGCTAGAAACATATTCATGAATGTGATAGAGCATACATGAGGCAAAGTTATGAAAACTTCTTAGATGTTATCAGACACCTTGAGGGAATGAATTGCTGGGCCTGGGCGCTCAGGACCCTAGTCTCAGGGGACACCACGGTCAGTTGATATAGCATAGTCCACAAAGACAATGTTCTATATCATACTTTTGTTGAGTAGTAACTGGGATCTTAAAAATTCATGAGTGGACACTGAGGTCCAACTCTTGGTCTTTTCCTGTCTGGAGCAAGAAGAGTGGTGAAAATTGAAGACACCTGGTGCATATGAACATCAGACTCCACAACCCTGACCTGAGACCAGAAGAACTAGATGGTGCTCGAATACTAAATCTTCTGAAAGGGATTACATATACAGGTCCTGCATAGAGTAGGAAAAAATGTGGAACAAAATTCAAAATCATTAAAAAAAAAAAAAAAGAACCAGGTTTACTGGTCAGATAGAGACTGATGGAACCCCTTGATCGCCTGCCCTTCAGGTCTGGAACTGAACTCACATCCCCACAATTCACTTTTCAGCCAACCAATATATTGATATATAGGGAAACAGGAATACTAGTAAGATGGTACACACTATGGTCAACCATATGAGATTAAAAGGGCAACATTTACCTAAGGACAAGAATTGAGGGTATTGTAGTCATTGAGATGATATGAAGCTTATGATTTGTTGAATGTAAAACTTATAAACTGCTGTGTAAATTTTCCTCAATTCACAATAGAAGTTAAATAAAATGCTTTAAAATTTTATAGATGTTCATAATATGGAAGTGTGTACACCAAATATTGTCAGTTTTTATTGTTGCAAACTGGTATCTCTTGTTTCCATTTTCAATCTCTAATTTCTGTTTGGAGTCCTGATAGGATAAAGGTCTGGACTGCTTACTGCAAAGTTGGAGGTTCATATTCCATCAGCTGCTCCTCAGAAACTGTATACAGGGTGTCTGTGAGTGAACTGATTCGATTCGAAGGTACTTAAGGACAACAACACATTTCTGTTTATCTGTTGTTGTTAAGTACCATGGAGTGAGTTCCGACTCATAGTGTCCCTGCACCCTGCACAGGGTTTCCGAGGCTGTAAATCTTCACAGGGGTAGAAAGCCTCATCTGTCTCCTGCGGAACGGCAGGTAGTTTCGAACTACCAACCTTGAGGTTATCAGCCTGATTCGTAACCACTACTTCTGTTTATCTAGAAATGTCCAAATTTTACTGTTGTATTTGATGGACACCTTTGCTGAGTATATTATTCTTCTTGTTGAATGCCCTTGAGTCCGTTCCCAGTCATAGTGACCCTGTATAGGGTTTCCAAGGAGCGGCTGGTGAGTTTGAATCACCCACCTTGTGGTTCAAACCGACCTTGCCATCCAGTGCTGGTGGGCAGTTTTTTCTTTTAGAATTTAATATATGTTGTTCCATTGTTTTCTTGCCTGCATGTGATCTGCTGAGAAGTAGGTCATAACTCTTTTTAGTTCTCCTTTGTAGGTGATTTTTCTTTATTCCAAACCAATCTCAGGATTCATTCTTTGTCCTTGAACAGTTTAATTATAATTTAGTGATTTTCTTTCGGGTCTGTCCAGTTTGGAGTTCATTCAGCTCTTTTTGTTTTTGTTTTTTTCGATTGTTTATCTAGCATAGGGGTGGGGAACCTTTTTTTGCCAAGGGCCATTTGGATATTTATAACATCATTCATGGGTTATACTAAATTAGCAACTTAAAAAAATTTGCCTGCTATATATGGTCAAACATTTAACTAACTCACTCCTCATGTGATGGCTGGAACTGTGGTTGTCTTGGTTGGGCCAGCTCAAATGATTTTACAGACCTTATACTGCTGATAAGTTTGAACTGCCAACCTTGTGATTCAAACCAAACTTGTGATCCCGTGCTTATCCTATAGAGCCACACTGAGACTCTTGTATCTGTTCTATGTTGTTGTTAAGTGCTGTTGAGTTAGCTCTGACCCATAGTGACCCTGTACAGGAGCGGCTGGTGGGTTTAAACCGCTGACCTTGCCATTCAAACTGACCTTGCATTCCAGCGACTTATCTTACAGCACCTGTATCTGTAGTCAGTAGTAGTAACAGTTAGGTGCCATCAAGTCAATACTAACTCATAGTGACCCTATGCACAATAGAAGAAAACACTGCCTGTTCCTGGGCCAACCTCACAAACATTGCTAGTCCTGAGCCCATCACTGCCGCCAATAGTGCCAGTCCATATCATTGGGGGTCTTCCTCTTTTTCTCTGACCCTCTACGTTACCAAACATGATATCCTTCTCCAGGGACTGGTCCCTGTTGATAATATGTCTGAAGCATGGGAGACGAAGTCTGGCCATCCTGGCTTCCAAGGAGCACTCTGGCTGTATTTCTTCCAACACATCTGTTTGTTCTTCTGGCAGCCCATGGTACTTCTAATATTCTTCTCCAATACCATCACTCAAATGCATCAATTCTTCTACAGTTTTCCTTATTCACCGTCCCAACTTTCACATGCGTATGAGGCTACTGAAAATACCATGGGTTGGGTCAGGCACACCAAAGTCTCCAAGCTGACATCTTTGCTCTTCAACACTTTAAAAAAAGTCTTGTGCAGCAGATTTGCTTAATGTAGTACGTCATCTGATTTCTTGACTGCTGCTTCCATGAGTGCTGATAGTTGATCCAAGAAGAATGAAGTCTTTGACAACTTCAATCTTTTCTCCATTTATATGGATATTGTTTATTGGTCCAGTGGTGAGAGTTGAAGTCCTCTTGATTTCAGCAAGCAAGTTATATCATCTGCATATCACAGGTTGTTAATGACTCTTCCTCCAATCTTAATGCCATGTTTTTCTTCTTATAATCCAGCTTTTAGGATTATTTGCTTAGCATACAGATTGTGTAAATATGATAAAACAATACAACCTGGCTCATACCACCTTTCCTAATTTTAAACCATTCAGTGTTCCCTTGTTCTTTGGTGGCTTGTGTATGTGTTGCTGTGGTGGCTTGTGTGTTTGTTGCTGTGATTCTGGAAGCTGTGCCACAGGTTATTTTGAATGCCAGAAGGGTCACTCACATTGGACAGGTTTTAGAGCTTCCAGATGAAGACAGACTAGGAAGAAAGAGAGACAAACTACTTCCAGATACTTTGGTCACTAAAAAATCTTATCAATAGCCATGGAACACTGTCAGCCTGTATCTACAGCTGCCCCCAAAAGCTCAAATTGACTGTGCTGCTCCAGGCTAGTTCGATTTTCTTCTCTCACTAGTTCTTTAACTCCTCTTAGTCAGAACTCAGTCTACCTCTCTATCCTATCCTATGAAGTTCAAGATTCTAGGATCACCATCTATATCCATTTCATTTGATCTCCCATGTCCACGTTTCAGTGAGTCTGCTCAATGCATTTGCCTGCTGCACTGTCTTCCTCCAGAAGTCCACGTGGACATATTTTAAAAATAGTTTACAGTGAAAATTTTGCAATGTATAAGTTTCCATCTGAATTTCACAGTTTTGAATGGCTCCAGCAAGGTGACGATTTTGCACAGAACCCTATAAATTAAGGATGATGGGAACTCACCCAGTGATGCTTTCTTCTTCTAGATGTTGACTCCCCTCTAGTTTCTGACTGCTTCTCATTGTTCTCTCATTCTTCAGTTAGCTTTTAGTACTTTGTTTAGAATTTATGTTGTTATTTGCAAGAGAATTGGTCTGATAGAAACAACTTTGCTATTGCAACTAGAATCCCCTCACTATGTTTTTGAAAGTAATTAAAAAAATAAAAGTAAAGCTTTATTACATTTAAATGCCATCAAGAATCTATCTTGCTACTTAAAAGGATATAGAAAACTTAGTCTTTATTTGAGTAAAAGAAAAAGTCTCTTCATGGCCCTTCAGAGTAAGAATGGAAACACTACTAAACGTATAATCACGTTTAACTAGTTTTTACTTTCATTGCAGCTTCTCCACTTAACAATGATGACGGCTCTTTGGACATATATGCTGGGTTGGACAGTGCTGTTTCTGGTAAGTAGATTCTATAACATAGCTTTAATTTGTTTGATAGGTTTATTGCAAGTATGTACTTAAGTATAAGGCGCCTTCAGTTCAGAATTTTTCCATGAACTTTTTGAAGTCCCTTGTACTTAATTATTTTCTTTCTCAAAACTTGACCAGTAAAACATGTTGTTTGGTGCCATCTAGTCGGTACTGACTCATAGTGACCTTATGCACAGCAGAACAAAACACTGCCTGATCCTGGGCCAACCTCACTACTGTTGCCACGCTTGAGTCCATCGATGCTGCCACTTGGCCAATCCATCTCATTGAGGGTCTTCCTCTTTTTCTCTGACCCTCCACCTTACAAAACATGATATCCTTCTCCAGTGTCTGGTCCCTCCTGACAATATGTCCAAAGTATGAGAGATCAAGTTTGGCCATCTTGGCCTCCAAGGAGCACTCTGGAGTGCTCATGCATAAAGTTATTGAACCTTATATATACCATGGCTTGGGTCAGGCGCACCTTAGTCCTCAAGCTGATATCTCTGCTGTTCAACATTTCAAAAAGGTCTTTGCAGCAGATTTGCCTAATGCAACACATCGTTTTATTTCTTGACTGCTGCTTCTGTGAGTGTTGGTAGTTGACCCAAGAAGAATGAAGTCCTTGACAACTTCAATCTTTTCTCCATTGATAAGAACGTTGTTAATTGGTCCAGTGGTGAGGATTTTTGTTTTCTTTATGTTGAGATGTAATCCATATGGAAGGCTGTGCTCTTTGATCTTCATCAGTAAATGTTTTAAGTCCTCTTCACTGTCAGCAAGCAAAGTTGCATCATCTGCATAT